GGCATAGATTAGAAGTAGGCAAGTGTGCTGAACAGACTTTTTTTTTTTGACTGTGTGGATTTTTTTAATAGCTTTTATTCATTTTGGCTGCAAATTTAAACTTAGACTTGGCCATAGTCTTTTGACTAAAAAGCCATTTTGGTTTGTCTTCAAGTCATCTGAATTGTTTGTCAACTAACTATCCAGTAGACTTTAGTAGACACAACTAAAATCTAGTGGGTTCAGTTAAAGCCTCTGTCTCTTTTGCCCCTCTAGGTGTTCCTCTCCCAAACACTGGTCTGTCTCTTTTGCCCATTCCACAGCCCCTCTGTGCAGTGTTAATTTTGGCAGCGCCATTTAATTTAGTTTGTCAGTCTTTTGACTAAAACTATTATTATAGTTTTAGTTGTATTTTAGTCATCTGAATTGTTTTAGGAGACTAAATCTCAAAACTTTGAGTTGACAAAGTGTTAATTTTGTTGACTAACAATATCTGTAACATATTGTGGCTTCTAGGCTTTGAGATGTAATTAAAGCAGCATTACAATTCTCACTGCTCATAATGTGTTTTTTTATTTTTTTTGGGTGGGGGTGTTTAAAGGGAGGTGGTGCAGATAAGCACAGATACGAACATTGTATAGTCTATTGTAACCAAGGATATTTTCCATAACAGCTATTAAAGACTAACAAACCTGCCTTTATACATACTGAAGGCTTGCCTTACATTAAAAAGGATCAGGGGAAAGAATCTTGTTACAAAGGAACTTTATAAGTGTCTGCAACTTTTGTTTCCCCTCCTTTTTAGGGTTTGACATTTCTGTTTGACCTACTTAGGGCAAGCATAACTGCAAATATGGATGGAGGCTTTTTCCCACTGCATCAATGACCTTCAGTATGGTATGGAAATTGCCCATGTTGGTGTCCTCAGAAACGTGAAGCATTGTTTGGGTACTGTAAGATTTATATATACCTCTTGTGCCACTTTACCTCACTTACTCTAGAATGCATGCTTGTTTGAGCAGGGTCCTCAAAACCCTACACTTTCACTTTTTTTTTTTTTTTTTTTTTCTTCTTCCAAAAATTGTTTTTATGCTTTTATCTTTTTTAAACAAACATTTTTAAAGGCTAATCCATAAATCCTGGACAGTTCGGGGGTCCTTGAGGACTGGGCTGAGAACCCCTGCTTTAGGCAATGTAATGACTTCAATTATGCTTTTGCTTTCAGCTGGCTGTGAGTGACCAGGGTTGTAATAGCTGCTAACTGGCTATGAATCAATTGTAACTGAGCACATACTTCTTCAGTAATTGATGTTCGAGTTAAAAGGTCCGCCATCCTCTTCCAGAATGCAGCTATGCTGTACTAACAGCGATAAATACTTCCCTGGTGTATGCAGGATTCACATGCTTCACGTATGAAATAACGTGGTTAATGATGATCTGCATTGATTACTAAATAGCTTAGCCTTTTTGCAATATAAATGCTACCTAGTAGTAATATCCTGGAGTGTTAACACCTGACAGAGTGCTGATTTGTAATCTTAAAAAAAACAAACAAAAAAGACCAAGTACTGTACTGACTAGTAATGAAATACCCCGCTTTGAGCTCAGGCAGTGTTTGCCCTATATACGGCTTGTGGCTGGTTCATTGTCACTAGGCGGAGATGGCCATTTATAGCAGGCATGTCGCTGATGTATGTGCACAGCGCGCTATTCTCACCGCATTCCCCTTCATTGCGGTGTATGGACATGGCTCAGCACTCCCGCTTGCTGTCCGTGTAACCGGTCTCGGAGATCTGTGTTAACGTCTAGCGTTCGGAAAAGTGTCTCAATGTTCTAAGGTCCAGTAATTAGCGGGAACTGTTCTACCTGAATACAAGGCACTGATACAGGTTCCTAGAAACCTCTCCGCAAAAAGCCGGGCGGTGCGAACAACCAGGGGCAATACCAGCCTAGAGGCAGCAACCCGATACCCTGCCTGACAGCCCTCAGACAGCGCTCTATGTAAAGGCCGTGTGATTGTCGAACGTGTACGTTTTATGTCAGACGTATGGCGAGAAGCATTGTCCCACCCCGGGCGGGCTAGAGGCTGTATTTCCTGTTATTTGAACGTGGCTTTGGCGCTCTCCTTTGTACAGAAATAGCGGGAAGGACAGGCGGCGGACAGGTCGGATATCTAACCTTGTCATAGCGCCCGGGATTGTGCCTTACACGGTAAGCGAATGGGGCCATATACATACAGCCACAGGACCTCTCTCTATAATACAGCCTGTGCATGGGGCCCTATACATACAGCCACAGGACCTCTCTCTATAATACAGCCTGTGCATGGGGCCCTATACATGCAGCCACAGGACCTCTCTATAATACAGCCTGTGCCTGGGGCCCTATACATGCAGCTACAGGACCTCTCTCTATAATACAGCCTGTGCATGGGGCCCTATACATGCAGCCACAGGACCTCTCTATAATACAGCCTGTGCATGGGGCCCTATACATGCAGCCACAGGACCTCTCTCTATAATACAGCCTGTGCATGGGGCCCTATACATGCAGCCACAGGACCTCTCTATAATACAGCCTGTGCATGGGGCCCTATACATGCAGCCACAGGACCTCTCTATAATACAGCCTGTGCCTGGGGCCCTATACATGCAGCTACAGGACCTCTCTCTATAATACAGCCTGTGCATGGGGCCCTATACATGCAGCCACAGGACCTCTCTATAATACAGCCTGTGCATGGGGCCCTATACATGCAGCATCACACGGCCTGTGCGTGGGCCCATATACACACAGCCACAGGACCTCTCTATAATACAGCCTGTGCATGGGGCCCTATACATGCAGCCACAGGACCTCTCTCTATAATACAGCCTGTGCATGGGGCCCTATACATGCAGCCACAGGACCTCTCTATAATACAGCCTGTGCATGGGGCCCTATACATACAGCCACAGGACCTCTCTATAATACAGCCTGTGCCTGGGGCCCTATACATGCAGCTACAGGACCTCTCTCTATAATACAGCCTGTGCATGGGGCCCTATACATGCAGCCACAGGACCTCTCTATAATACAGCCTGTGCATGGGGCCCTATACATGCAGCCACAGGACCTCTCTCTATAATACAGCCTGTGCATGGGGCCCTATACATGCAGCCACAGGACCTCTCTATAATACAGCCTGTGCATGGGGCCCTATACATACAGTTACAGGACCTCTCTATAATACAGCCTGTGCATGGGGCCCTATACATACAGCTACAGGACCTCTCTCTATAATACAGCCTGTGCATGGGGCCCTATACATACAGTTACAGGACCTCTCTATAATACAGCCTGTGCATGGGGCCCTATACATACAGCTACAGGACCTCTCTCTATAATACAGCCTGTGCATGGGGCCCTATACATGCAGCTACAGGACCTCTCTATAATACAGCCTGTGCATGGGGCCCTATACATGCAGCCACAGGACCTCTCTCTATAATACAGCCTGTGCATGGGGCCCTATACATGCAGCTACAGGACATTTCTCTTTAGAATAGACCACAATAATTGGCACCTGTCTATTTGCAGCCACATACTGCAATGCTATCCATGGGCAGACTAAATGAAATCTATTTTTTTTTTTTTTTTGTGGTGCAAGACTGAGTTAAGCAGAAGATATGCACAAATATCGGAGTTATTATGGTGTATATTCCTGTTCCCCCTCCCTAGGCATGTATGCACTGGTTCTTTACTTGTAGGTAAATCGAATTGGGAAAGAATGAGGGGCTCTTGAGATTTGAGTGAATTATTTTGGTGTTTATGGTGCGAAAGCTCTTAATCACTTGGCAACCATCGGAATTCCTTTGTGAAAAGTATTTTATAGGATTAAGAGATTAACTCTGTCCAGTTTGCTTCATCCAAAAGTTTGTGTATTTTATTTTAAATGCTCTCTTGTCAAAGTTCCCATTCTGAAAATTCAGTATTTCTTTACACTGCATTATCTGGAATATAGGAATTTGTCACAATTGTCAGTGGACAGATGCTCACAGAACAGGCAGAGTCTGTCTTATTTAGAGCCACACTAATTTGTGATGCAATGACCAGGTCTACTGCAGACAAACTATCTTGCATTACAAGGCTCTAGATCAGGGGTAGGCAACCTTTTGGTAGTACTAATGCCAAAACATGAATTTGGAAGTCCCTTGATGTGCCGGTCCAATTTTTTTTTAAAATTTAGGTGTTTCTGCTTGTTATTTATGGGTGCTGCTGTTGCTTTGTAACTTAAAGGATCACTATAGTGTCAGGAAAACAAAGTTGTTTTCCTGACACTATAGGGCCCTGAAGGTGCCCCCACCCTCAGTCCTGCTCCCGTGGAGCTGAAGGGGTTAAAACTAGGGATCGACCGATATTGGTTTTGGGTTTTTTTTGTTTTTGTTTTTTTTGAGCCGATACGCTATTCTGTGAACTTTCAGGCCGATATAATTGCCGTTATTCTGTACATTTACCAATTTGGAAAATAAACTATTTCTAAAGGTAAATGCATAAAATATACATGCCGGATGCAGTGTGTGTGGGTGGAGTGGATGCAGTGTGTGTGTGTGTGTGTGTGTGTGTGGGTGGAGTGGATGCAGTGTGTGTGTGTGTGTGTGGGTGGAGTGGATGCAGTGTGTGTGTGTGTGTGGGTGGAGTGGATGCAGTGTGTGTGTGTGGGTGGGGTGGAGTGCAGTGTGTGTGTGTGTGTGGGTGGAGTGCAGTGTGTGTGTGTGTGGGTGGAGTGGATGCAGTGTGTGTGTGTGGGTGGAGTGGATGCAGTGTGTGTGTGTGTGGGTGGGAGTGGATGCAGTGTGTGTGTGTGGGTGGAGTGGATGCAGTGTGTGTGTGTGGGTGGAGTGGATGCAGTGTGTGTGTGTGGGTGGAGTGGATGCAGTGTGTGTGTGTGGGTGGAGTGGATGCAGTGTGTTTATATAAAACACACTACGCAAACACACTGCATTATATAAACAGTGTTTGTATAGTGTGTGTATACAATGCACACAAATACACACTGCATTATATACACATTGTGTTTGTATAGTGTGTATATAATGCAGTGTGTGTTTGTGTGCATTGTGTACACACTATAAAAACAGTGTTTGTGTAGTGTATGTGTATATAATGGAGTGTGTGAGGGGGCTTTTTACATTTTTTTTTTATTTATATATTTATATTTTTATATATATATATATTATTTTTGTCCCCTCTCCCTGCTTGTTACCTGGTCAGGGAGGGGGATATGACAGTCCCTGGTGGTCCAGTGGTATTGGCTGAGCTGTGGGTGGAGGGGGGGGGGGAGAGGTGGCAGCAAGCGCTTACTCACCTCCCAGCAGCTCCCCAGTGCAACTCTCGCGGCCAGCGTGTCGCGCAGAGCGTTGCCATGGTGACCCATGGCAACGCTCTGACGGCCGTGGGTCTCGCGAGAGTTGCACGGAGGAGCTGCTGGGAGGTGAGTAAGCGCTTGCTGCCCCCCCAGGACCGCCGAACTTGTAATGAGCCCTGCGGTCCTAGGAGATATTATCGGCAATATCGGTATCTGAATTGGCCGATACCGATATTGCCGAAAATACCGATTATCGGCTGATTATATCAGTCGATCCCTAGTTAAAACCCCTTCAGCTGCTTACCTTATTCCAGCGTCGGGCTTCCTCGGTGCTGGTGACCTCTGCTGACGCCAGCGGAGCCGCATGCACGGCAAGTGCCATGCGCGCATTCAAGCTATCAATAGGAAAACATTTGTCAATGCTTTCCTATGGACGCTCTGCGCGATGGAGGCATAATATGCCTCCAGCGTCGCAGATGTGCGTCTAGTGGCTGTCTTCTGGACAGCCACTAGAGGCTGGCTTAACCCTGCAATGTAAACATAGCAGTTTCTCTGAAACTGCTGTTTGCATCTGCAGGGTTAAAACCTGAGGGACCTGGCACCCAGACTACTTCATTGAGCTGAAGTGGTCTGGGTGACTATAGTGTCCCTTCAATATTTGTGCGTATGTGGGCTATTATATTGTGTCTGTTCATGCGTAGTTTGTGGTGTGTATAATACCTATGAATGGGGAGCTGTTTGTGGAATTGTGCGTCTGGATATGTCACATTGTGTGGGGCTGCTTGTGGTATTGCATGAGAGGCTACTTGTGTGCTTGTATGTGGATTGTCAGTGGGGACTGTGTTTGTTTGTGTGTGTGTGGGCTGATTCTATTTGTATAAGGAGGAGGCTTCTTCTCCAGCTCTGTGGATCTAAAAGTGTGGATGCCTTCGCTGGGGTCCAGTGGGGGCCACATTGGCAAGGTACCAGTCAAGTGCAGGAGCTGCGATAGCTGCTGCAGGCTGCTCTACTCCAGTGCAGATTCCCATTCACAAGTGCTTGGAGGAAGTGATTGAAGATCACGTCCTCTATGTGTTGCAATGTGTGAATTGAGTATCTGACATCCCCTGCAATCACTGCTCGGTTTGCAGTAGCAAATATCTCAAGACACTGGGACTTCTGATAGGCCAGAGCCTCTTTGTCTCTGGCCGCCTTGAGTGCTGTGCAAGGACGCCTTGAGATCCCTGCCTTAGACAGATCCCTGCCTTAGACAGATCCCTGCCTTAGACAGATCCCTGCCTTAGACAGATCCCTGCCTTAGACAGATCCCTGCCTTAGACAGATCCCTGCCTTAGACAGATCCCTGCCTTAGACAGATCCCTGCATTGAGGTAGTCTTTAAATATTCTACAGGAATAGTTATGGATTTCTTTTTTTTTTTTTTTAATTTATTTTATTTATTTTTTACATTCTTGTGAATAACAGCATGTGTGTCTCAGTTTGACTAAACCTCTTCCTTTGTTCCACCGGCAACACCTATTGTTTACATCTTTTAACCTTGTTAATGAATTGCCAAAACCTCACTCTAGGTCTGCAAGCTGATTTATTTTAGTGTATTAAACTTATTGAGCTAATTTCTAATGATTGCAGTCAGTGTGATGATCGTGTAAGAGATTCTTCATTGATCTGCAATAGCTCTTATAATCCTAAATCTAGTGTGGGTTTTTTTTTTTTCTACATACTTGCTAATGTTGCCGTAAGTTTCATAACTCTATAATTAAATTGTCTATCAACTCTATTATGCAACCTGTATGCACAAATCTCAGTTTCCCTCCTTTTCATTAATGTCTTGTTTCTCTTTTTTTCATTGACAGGATGAAGAGTCTGCCAGTTTGTCTGTTTTTGTGCACCATGGAAGTTTTCTCATATCTAACCCTCCAGAGCCAAAGGAACTCTAGAAAGCAAATACCCATACGTAGCAAATAGCAAAGACTTTAGACCGAGTCACTCGGCCCTTGTTCAGTTTACTGCCTATTTAATTTTATAGTAATTTATTGAAATATTTTCATACCTCATAATTTTTGTTTACATATCACATATTTTTTTTAATTAGTTTTGAACAGATTTTTCATTTTGAGCCAAAAGTAAATATGGAATCAACAACCGCTTTTAGTGCAATTACTAGTGTCCTTACTGGGCAGGCAAGTGGTCCCTTAGTAGAGTACCTCTGGATACTGATTCTGGGTTTTGTCATTGCATTCATCCTGGCATTCTCTGTTGGTGCCAATGATGTTGCAAATTCCTTTGGAACAGCTGTTGGCTCTGGTGTAGTTACCTTGCGTCAGGCTTGTATTCTGGCATCTATCTTTGAGACCGTTGGATCTGTGTTGCTGGGGGCTAAAGTGAGTGAGACAATCCGGAAAGGACTGATTGACGTCACCATGTATAACACTACTCAGGAGCTATTAATGGCTGGTTCCATCAGTGCCATGTTTGGTGAGTGTTCAACAAGATCACTACTAAAAGTATGTTGTTCATCGGGACAAAATTAGTTGCTATTCATGAAGATACTAGTCCAGTGATTGCTAACCTTTTGTCACTCTAGCTTGCAATGCAGTTGGCATGACTGATTTCAGCGGTTGGGGAATTATGGGCTCCAAATGATTTGAGTCTCTTGGGAGTTGAAGTTCAGGTTAGCAGTTACTGCCCTACTAGCTAATCCTGGGAATGCATAGCCAGCTAGTAGACCTCAGTTGTTGCTGAGCTGCAACCATCAGAATTTTCCACTAGCCCTGAACCTGCTGGAGACTGAGGTAATGTGAGTTGTAGTTAAAGGACCACAATAGTGCCAGGAAAACACTCTTTTTTTTTTTTCCTGGCACTGTAGTGTTAATAGGCCTCCTGCCGGGCTCTCGGGGGAGGAAGGGGTTAAAATCTTACCTTTCTCCAGCGCCGGGCTCCCTCTGCGCTGGGGACTCTCCTCCTCTTTCCGAAGTCATCGGCTGAATGCGCATGTGTGGCAAGAGCCGAGCGTGCATTGTCAGTCCATAGGAAAGCATTCTCAATCACACTAGAAGCTGGATTAACCCATATGTAAACATAGCAGCTTCTCTGAAACTCTGTTTAAAGCAGGCAGGGTTAACCCTAGATGGACCTTGCACCCAGACCACTCCATTAAGCTGAAGTGGTCTGGGTGCCTATAGTGGTCCTTTAATCAGTGATTAGACAGGTGCTGGCTAGCCTTGCCATGTGTTATGGGGTTGTTAATGTGTCTTGTTTTCATTTTTTCCAATTATGCATTTTAGGTTCTGCTGTGTGGCAGCTTGTGGCTTCTTTCTTGAAACTTCCCATCTCTGGTACCCACTGTATTGTTGGTGCCACCATCGGCTTCTCTCTTGTTGCTAAAGGGCAGCAAGGTGTCAAGTGGACGGAGTTGCTTCGTATTGGTAAGTATTGTGCCAAAGTAAATGCTTGTGTTTAAACCTTGACATGGTGCTGTCTTCTGAATTCCTAAGATTGTACAGCGGGCAGTCTTCCTTCTGAATCTAGTGCACTACACCTTATGTGTCGCTGAAGTAGTCTGGGTGTCTATGGTGCCCCTTTAAGCAAAGTATCCGTGGGGTAAATTTCCTGAAGTAAACAAATGGGGGCAAAAATAAACAGGGGCAAAAAAGACCTTATACCCAAAGGCTTACCATATGCATCTAATATGAATTGTATGACTTGAACAGTAGATGTGCGAAAGAGGAGTTAATGTTTAGTTGTAATCTATGAAATGCCATAAACTGGTTAATCTGCACCAATCTTTGCGTATTCTAGTTATAACTGCTGCTTTAAATCCATTTTAAGCGTGATGTGACTGCTTCTAACTCTTTTGTTTTGTTTTTCTCCACATAGTGCTCTCCTGGTTTATATCACCTCTTCTATCTGGCATCATGTCTGCACTCCTGTTCTTCTTCGTCAGAATGTTCATCCTTCGGAAGGTAAGGTTTTATTACATTGTTTAATATAGCCTTCAGCACTGGCCTGTTTCACATGGTCTCCGCCCCATTATGTTTTCATCTGCACATGACTTTCTGCAGTTTAATTTCCATACCTTGCTGCTCATAACTGACTCTATAATGGGTTTAAAGGGCCAGGAGCTCCCAATAGGGAAGTACTGCTGTATATCTTAATATTGGTTCTGCACCCAATTCCTTTACAATCCTATGAAGACAGATTTGTGGTGGTCTCACTGAACTTCTTTATAAAAAAATAAAATAAATTTTTTTTTTCTTTTTTTCATTGGTGAACTGTTCACTGTTTAAAAATAGAGCACATTCTTGTTATGTTGGTGTTACAGTTCTGCTATACACCACACCTTGATTTGTAATTGACTTGAAATAATCAACCTTTTTTGGTTTTAAAGTAAATTGGTTACTAAAAGTGGAAGTCATGACCATTATATATACATCTGCATACCCTTTCATATTAAACCCACATATAGCTTAATATTTGGCTTTTTATGTAAGGCTTCACAAAGTAAAGAGGGAGAGCACGATAAAGATAGTATCCTTGGGAGTGGGGTTCCCTACTAGTAACGGGAAACGAAATAGGGTACATACAAGAACATAAAGTGCAACATCTAGGCATATGTATTGAAACTTAAACCAGGCACTCCAGACTCTCTATTCTTAAGAGCTGAGTATCCAGAGGAGTGGAGTAATCCACTGGTGATGGGGAAACAAGGGTGATACAATGTAAAGTTTATTGTGCACCCTCTAAACGTGG